GGCGACATGGTTCTCAACCCGATCTTTGCCGAGCGCATTCCAAAGGCGCAGCTCGAGCTGTCGGTCGAGCAAGCGGACGCATTGATGGCAAGTGCAAGCCACCGTGCGGCGTGGCATCAACAAATGCAAGCCCTCGACACCGTCGTGGACAAGAAGATGGACTTGGTCCGTGATGGGCTCCTGCACATCGACCACTTTATCGCTGTGAACGTGAAAACCGCGTTCGCAGACGAACTCAAGGCGGTCGAGTCGTCGCGCAAGCAGATCAAGGACGCGATCGAGACGGCGCGCCGCAGTCGTGGCGAGTTTTCAACTGCCATCCTCGCGCGGCTCCGACGCCGCACCAAGAAAGAGCTCGAGAAATTCCAGCGCAACATGGATCGTCTTTGGAAGCCCAAGGCGACGGGAAAAGGCTGGGACGACCATGCCAAAGGCGCCGTGCTGTATGAACTCACGCAGCGTGCATCGATTGCGGCGCAGTTGCAAGCGACATCGGATAGTATCCAAACCGCGGTGAACGACCCCGCCAATGTTCAACTCGAAGAGAAGGACGATGCCAACGACGGAGAGGACTACTCCTACGGCGCAGACGACGGCGATGCGCCAGAGGATGGCATGGCGCAGCTCAAGCGCGAATCGACGGCGCTCAAGGTCGCCAACGAAGCCCAAGCCAAGCAGATCGAAGCCATGACGTCCAAGCTGGATGTGGTTACGACCAAGCTCGATACGATCGCAGCGCTCTTGGGGCATCGCGCTGACGCGACCGAGTCGATGCGCCGTCAGAGTCGTTTTTGATGGTCATCTTTCCAATACACATTCATATACAACACGAGATTGCGATCAAGGGTCCAGTACATTTGTGGTAGGTGTGTTTCGTGCCAGCAGCGCTAGAATCGTGTCCAGCTTGGCGGCAATCGCCTTGTTTTCTGCACGGAGCTCTGCCATTTCCTTGTCCTTGGCGACCGCGACCGCTGCTACCTTCATCTCCTCGCGAGTCGTGAGCTCTGCGATTTCCTTTTCCGTCGTTTCCTTGAGCGTTGACAATTCTTGCTGCAGTCGTGCCACCTCGTTTGTCAAAGGGTCGGGTGCTGTCGGCGTATATGCGAACCTTGCTGACGTTGCCTCAGCGTCATCATCGCCTGGCGTGGATAGCTCCACTTTGGCTACATCGGCGATCGCACGTGTCATGGCGTCCGTCATGGTCGTCAGATGTACGTCAATAGCCACGCGTTGGTTGAGCTGAAAGAGGAGCATACACTGGTCGTGGTCGCTCAGTGGCTCGGTCTCGTCAATGCGCCGCCAGAGATTCGCGATCTGCGCCTTGCACAACCGGAGCTGCTTGGAGACACGGTCGTTGAGATTGCCGAGCACGTGCTCTTTGAACTGACCGCGGCTGCGACGCGCCAACTCTATCGCCTCCTTCACGGTCTTTTGCTTGGATGCGAGGACGTTTAGCTCGCCGCCAAATACCGCGGACACGTCCAAATCGGTAAAATGACCAACGTGCTCCAAGCTATTGCGGACAAACGCCATCTGACTCTCGACGACCTTGTCTAGAGCATCCATGTGCTCGATCCAGGATACTCGGTGGCTCGTATTTTGCATCAAAGCATCCGCTTGCTCCGGTACAATTCCCAGCGACGCCTTGGGGACACTCGTGGTGAATATCGGATGCAGTATGCGCTTGCCTCGGTCGTCCACGAGGTGCATGAGCTCCATCGTTTCTTTCTCGCTGAGGTTCATGGCGCCTTCGAGTCGCAAAATGGATTGCGCGTAGCTGATCAACGCTTGGGCCTTGGCGTTCGCCAAGCTACCTTCGACCGTCTGGTTCATCATCGCCAGAAGCACGTTGAGCAAAACGACGACCATAATGGCCGAGTGCGCCATCATGAGAATTGCTGTGCCAATGTACAAGGTGTCGTATGATCCCGAGACGTCCGCAGTGTTGGTAAACGTATCGAGCGAGCTCAGAGGGACTTGGCCAAATGTCACAAAATACGTCGACATGAACGACTGACCCAGAGAGCTGAACGCGGCGTCGGGCTTGAGCACAAAGAGCTGGTAGAAGATGAGCGTCAAACCAATTTGGAAAATGCCAAAAATGAGGAAAAAATTCCAAATGTCCCCAAAGAGGTGCGCCATCATCGGGAGAAGGTAGCTGGCCGATGAGACGACCTCTAAGAACTGCAGCGAAAAGACCCAAAGCACCAACGCGAGCAGCGCGCCAAAGCCAACTTGGACTTGAGTTGAGGCTGGCAGCCAGCCGAGCTTCATCGCCACAAAGACGCCGAGAATGAGGCCATAAGCAACCAGCTGCACCACGTTCATGGACGACGAGATGTACTTGATGCGACCGACAGCCTTGATCTCGTATACTTCGTTGACGATAAAGTACACGGTTGTAGCGGCAAGCACAGCATTGTTGAAACGAGCAAACCACGCGTCGATGTGAAGCTCGTCAGCAAAGTGTACGAAGAGGGCGGTCAACGTTGCCGTGACAGCTATAGTCCACCCCACGAGGCACCATCGTACGTGGCGATCGGACGGCATTTTGGCCCTGAGTCGAGCAAACCGCCGTGGCCGGAGACCCTGTGCAGCAACAAGCCCGACAACGGCCAAAAGAGCTGTCGTGAGACCGATACCGAAGCTTGTGGACGACGGCGGCACGTCACCAAAGAGAATGGACGAGATCGTCATCGTCACCAGCAACAAAATGTGCATCAGCAGTCGCTCGACATACATGCGCCGGCCAAAGAGTTCCCACTTGATCTCGAGGAGCCGGCGAAAGACGACATGCTCAAGACATGCCTTTTGAGCCGCAAACATCTCGTCCGGGTCCTTGAGGTTCAGATTGAGAACGGTGTAAAGGGCGCTGGATCGGCAGTCAAGACCGTACACGAGGTCGAGCTACGCCATTCGCGTAAGTGAAGAGTTAATAAAAAACAAACGAAACCTACATTGGTGAACGTTGCATCGTGGCGACTCATGCAGATGCAGTCGTCGAGAAACGCGGTGGCGATGGCGGGGCTGCACGCAATGGCTTCTGAAAACCCGTGCTTTGAGAACACCTCGTACGTCGTCTTGGTCACGAGACGTTGCGCAAGGTGCTCCCGATAGGCAGGTGAGTTGTCACGCAACACCAGCTCCTTCTCCAAAAGCGTGTGGATTTCGTCGCCAAAATACGCGCGATGCCCCTACGACTCGGTGTCAAGTCATCCGCTACAGCGATACATGTACCTTGACAGCGGGCATGTCGGCAAAGAGCTCCAAGAGGCGCTCAACAACCGCACGATGGCCCTTGCGACCTGCGCGTACAATCGCTGTGCGGTGTCTCTACTATGACAGTCAGTGTCCTTTGTCCCGGACATCGGCACTTGCAAAGTCGGCGAGATCGATGTTGGCTCCATGGTTTAGCAGCAGCTCCACGTGCTCGAGCTTTCCGTTGCCTGCCACGATCATCAGTGCCGTCTCGTCCTCCTAGTATCCAATATTTCTACTATTTCCTATTCGATTGTCCTGTCAGTACCGTTGTGACGCCATCGACGTCGATGTCGTCTCGGGCAAGGAGTGTCTTGAAGACGGCGATGGGCAATGATTTTCGTGCCGCGACGTGCAGTGGCGTGTCATTATACTAGACAAAGTCGCTACCATAACCATGGTGGTGTGCGTGTCGAACCTGCAAGTGCTTCTTCATGTCGTCCACGCTGAGGACTCGTGCGAGATAGAAGGCGGGGTAGCGTGCAGCCATTTCCCAGCAGTTGCAACGGAGGTATTCGCATTCGCTGCCGCGCTTGTGAATCTCGAGGACGCGCTTCTAACGTAAACATCAGTTTATATATGGTTCCTGGTACAGTGCACCGCTGAGAATGGCTCGAGAAAGCCGTGGTGGGCACCGGCTTGAAGCAAACGCTCAACATAGTCGTCCTCGTTTTGAGCTTCAGCCATCGCCAAGGCCGTCTTGCCGCCCTAGAAAGCGAGTGAATGCGACATGACGATGTATCGCTATCGCACGTCGCGTGTTGTGCAGTCGATATGTAATCCCGGTAGCTTGAGCAAGAGCTTTAGATTCGGGAGGTTTCTTTTGGCACAGCAATGGTGCAGGACAGTGTAGCCCTGCAGCGTGTTAACCACAAGTATAGACATTGGGAATTAACCTTGGTATCGTAGTCGTTGAGGTCGTCTACGTTCGTGCCAGCTTCTAAGCGACCCTCGAGCTCGATCCACTTTTCGTCGGCAGCGAGTTGTGCCAAGGTAGACGTCGAATGAGCGGACTGGCGTACCCCCGTGCAGGCACCACAGCACACGAGTGGCGGGGTCCCATACTGAAGCCGCTTGATCTACGACAACATTGGTATTGTGAGTCGTCTGCTTGTGGTCTTGTAGATCGGTGGTGCGACGGTACATTGTGGCCAAAATTCAGCGCACGTTTTGTCTTGCGGCATACAGCGTCGACAGCGGCGATCAGCGCCGCGTTCGTAACGTCGCCCTTGCACATGACATCTTTCTCCAAGAGGTATTCTTCTGCACTTCGCCCTGTCTAGACATTTGATACTAAACTATTGCACATGCAATCAAGGCGCGTTGCCGTGCCTTGTCCTGCAGCAGCAAGCACTCCAATGTGCAGTAGGGCATGAGTCGCGCTAGGACTTGGTCGGTTGCGTACGGATCCAAGGCTTCAATAGCGTGCAGCACCACCGTCTTGCCGTCCTATTGGTAGCTAAGCAACCAATGGACAGTACCGGCTACCGACCATGTCAATACACGAGATTGCTCTCTCAATCCGAGCGCCTGAATCCAGAGTTGCACAAGCGAGTGTGTCGGTTAGCCACGCGTCAAAGCCCGACACGTCGTTAGCACGGGCAATGCGATGCAGTGGGAACTGCACTCGAAAGTCGGCTTCCTTTGCGAGGCGCTCAAGGGTCGTTGGGTCGTCCGTGAGGTCGGCCGGTCGCTGGCCCACCTACACACGACGCTCGACGACAGGACGATCGCTATAGTGTTCGTCACCATGTTTTCTGCATCCAAGGCCACATTGAGAATGAGAAGGCGTTCTAGCACTTGGGCTCTGCCGCCTCCTTCATGCAGAGACTTGAGGACGATATGCAGCGCCGAGTCGCCGTTCTACCACCCGGTTAGGATCCCTGCGGCTGTTGTAGCATACGTCGTTGGTGGCGTGAACGTCTGCACCGGCTCGCAGCAGCATTGCCAGTCCTCGGACATTGCCAACCCGACTGGCCGCGTGCAATGGCGTCTCGCCGCGCTAGAAGGGGCGTAGGAGCTTCAATCGGAGAGTCTCGTGTACGTGGTTGCGGCTGCCAACGGGGACGGACTGCGTCAAGAGCCACGGCATCACGGCATGCGCACTCGACTCTGCCGCGTAGTGCAAGAGAGAGCTGGGTTGGAGGGAATTCGCTTCTTCCTATGAAAATCCACAGGTTTTCTCACGGTGCACAACGCATATCCTACTGCGTCGCCCAGCGCTGGGATCAGCGACGGGGTGTTGACTGTGAGGCGCTCCAGGATCGCCGGTCGATCCTGCCTCGTGGCAACGACCAGAGCGTTCATAAAATCCTAGCCACACGGTTTACTCACGGATACTGATGGATCGTGCACACTGGTGTCCGTAGCTCCATACACGTCAGGAACAAGTTTGTCTTTCGATCGACACCAGCGTCATGAGCTGCGCTATCACCGACCTACACGTCACGTTATATCGTGGTTCAAAATGGCAAACCCACGGTTGATCGCTGTGGCGGGACCATCTGGTGTGCGAATGACGATGCTCCCACATCGTCGAGGTCTTCAGCAATCGAAGACTTATCACTGGGCTCTCGTTCGGGTAAGCATGGTGCAACGAGGAGTCGCTGGCGTCGCCACACCCAGCGCGCTGGCATCGCTCGGCAGGAATACACGGGGCGGTTATGCGTTGTGACTGATTTCTGTGTCGGCCAGTAAATGTGGCAGATGCCCACACCTGGAAAAGTTGCGTGTCACCAGGCACAAAGCCCCGCTGTGCGCACTCCAGCGTACATTCGGTGGTCGTTGTATACTAGTACCGATGCAATTGAAGGTAGAACTATACCATTTATGTAAGTCATTTAAGGAAAATTAAAATCTCGAGAGACCAAGTCGACGCTTTAGTAGAGGCAACCACGAACCGCGCAGCGTGGATCAAGCACATGGACGACCTCGACAAGGTCGTGAACGATCAGATCGACTTTATCCGAGACGGGTTGGCGCACGTCGGGCATTTCACCAAGATGGACGTGCTCCCAGTGTTCGAAAATGAAATGCGAGTTCTCGAAGAAGCACGCGCCAAGCTCCACGAGGCGGTTGATATGGCGCGCCGCAGCCGTGGTCAGTTCCGAGACGAGATTTTGCCCAAGTTACGGGAGCGGTCGGCCAAGGTGCTTCGATTGTACACGGCGAAGCTGCGGACTCTCTGGCGACGCAGTGACGACTTCGACAACATGGACAACCACGACCAGTGCATGCTTCTCTTTCAGCTCAACCAACACTCGACGCTCGACGATGTACTCACCAAAATGACTGCGGCCATCATGGCGGCTGTCTCCAAGGAAGTCCCACAGCAACGCCCGAATGCGACGACAACGACAAGGCAACCACCAACGAGCGCGAGATAGAGGGTGGAGCTTTGCACGACACAGCGACAAGTCCGACCCAGCAGATCGCTGCGATGGCGGCGCAGCTGGAAACGGTGACGAACAAGTTGGAAGCAGTGACGAGCCACAACACCGCGATGGAAGCCAAATTGGAAGCAGTGACAAAACAGAACGCTACCATGTCGGCCGAGTTGCAGTCGATAACGGGTCAGCTGACGACGATGGCGACGCAGCAGGCAGCAATGGTCTCCCTTTTGAGCGCAATGGGCCATCGTGAGCACCGAGCTCCAGCAACACTAAGCTTAGCCTAACGCTGTACGCGACAAATTCAACCATGATATTGACATTGAATTGGAAGCGAAAAGGCGTGTTCTGTTGCCAGTATTATATGGAGGTCTGACAATTCATGGGAGGACGTGCATGTGGAGCTCCTCAACATCTGTCATGTGATATGTCGTCGCTGGCTTCCCATGGCAACGCAGCCAGCAGGTGGTTGCATGTAGTCTCCTGCTGCTCAGAAGCGGCTCGGAGAGTGACAATACTCATCAAATCCCGAGTTCGGGGGGTTGGGGGAAAGAGGTGTGCTCTATCAGCCCCGGGGGAAGAGCTGTTAAGCCAAAAAGACTGCCTGTTCAAACCATCTGGTTTGCGTGCACTTGGACATCTGTCGTCACTGGCTTCGCCCATCAAGGCCCATCTGCTCATGGTGCAATTGCGACACAGCAACGGCGAGGTCGGCGTTTTTAGCAGGCGAAGCAGATGGTGACAACCCATTACCAGTCATAAATACGTACTGATATATCTCAGATGTCGAAATCGAACGTGAATCGGCATCGTTCGAGCCGAATGTCGACGCCTCGAAGAAACATTTTTACCTCTGGGACTCGTAGCGCTGACTACACCGAATAAAA